ATCGAAACTGGGAATCGAAAAGAATCGGAATCGATAAGCAGAATCAGAATCGGAATTGATCAAATTCAAACGATACCCAACCCTAGCCACGTCCATCACAAAACCACTGAGAGAAACACCACATCTCTCTTCTTAGCATTTTTTTGTGTATTTATGCATTTGTTAGTTACCAGGCTCATTATAGTTGAGCCATAACTAAACTAGAACCATAAAAAAAATACATTACTTAAAATAAAAAAAAGTGAACTGATAAAAAAAAAAAATTATTAAAAAAATATATTTAAATGAAAGTGTTTACATTTCTTTTCAAAACCTTAAAAATATTGTTAATTTTTTTTAAACTTCACTTAGTATGAAGCCTGTATGTGTAACAAAATATGAAATAATGTGTTATTTTTAAACTTTGTAATGCATTTTAAATTGAAAAATATTATAACGTATTATAATTCTGGTTACAATTATCCCTGTTATATTTTGCATGAATTATTAAATGCAAAATATAAATTAAATGAAAAATACTGAATAAAACAACAAGAATATAATAACTCCAAATGATGTATTTTGAGATTACAGTTACACATAATTGATCACAAATTACACATAAATTAACATACAATTATAATATAATATGATGGATGAATTATTAAATAAAAATGTGTTCATTTAAAATATTTATTTTTGTAATAAAGAGTAAATAAAATCAATAAATAAAAGAAAAAACAATGATATAATATTAATTCCACTAATACTGATGTCAGAATAGTGCAATAAACAACTAGTAGATATGATGCATTATCACTTTCATCAGCCATGCTGAATTTGTTGTCATAAATCAAAAACACAATGACATATAAAGCAGTCATGTAGAATAAGAATTATGGATAAGGTCAAAAGAAGTCACCCATTGTGAATGGCTTTTAAAGACTCAACATCATGCATCAGAGAACATCAGGGTTATTTACGAGAATATGCAACTGATTCTTTTTTAAGTTGTATGTGCATTAAGAATATCTTCGTAATGCTTTATATAAAGGCTTCAAAGACGAAATTACAGAAACAACTGACCAAATAGAAAGAAAAAGCATCACATTCACGTTCCAGAGTGTTTGTTTATATAACTGCACAAATGCACATGCCGTCTGGCTTGCAAAAGCAGCACCGGTGCTGGTAGTTTCTGACAGGTTGACAGTCTCCTGCTTTTAGAGGTCTGATTCCTGATGACCTATTCTCTCACGTCAGACCAAGAGCGCTTGGAGAGCTCCATGTCCTTCAAGGAAGACAGAGTGTTACAGTTCCCCTAAGTCACGATTCGCTGCACTGGGACTCATTTGAAAGCAAATCTTAGGGTAAATGCTTCTTTTTAAATGATGAGCACACTTGACTCCAGAGAACTGAATTCAGACTAACCACTCATGGTATAATACATGTAGAAACTTATAACTGCATTAAGCACTGGGAATAAGACAACTCGACAAGGTACGTTCCACTTGAGCCTGAGGTTTCTTAAAGGGGTCATATGATGTTGCTAAAAAGAACATTATTTTGTGTATTTGGTGTAATGAAATGTTTATGCGGTTTAAGGTTCAAAAAACACATTATTTTCCACACTGATTTCTAGTCGTGTCCTCTTTTGGAAGACCAAACAAAGTAGTTTCGCTTTCACAACAAAAATTACGACTAGAGTGAGTGGAGGCCGGTGGGCTTGAGAACGGCGCGGCCGGCAGGCTTGCGGCAACCCCATGTGATGACCCCGGGCTAAAGAGAAAGGAAAAATTGAAATCGCATCATATGACCCCTTTAAAACAATGAATCAGCACTTCTGATTCACAATGAAATGATGGAAAAGCAAATTCTCCGTCTCTCCTCGCACTTGCAGTGACGGGCTCTGTAAAGCTCTGAAAGAACTAAGGAGTGTAGAAATCCTTCAGAAAAGCATGATTTCTAATGACTTCTGACTAATGAGCATTCACATGAGAGAGCATAACTAATTACACCAGCAGATATGGGCAGCTTTGAACATGTTGGTTTTAGAAATGTTTTTTGAAGCTAACAAAAATGTTCTAAAAACGCTTTCCTAACGTTTAACGTTTTCCATTAAGTTATGAAAATGTTATTTCTGAATGTTCTTCAGTACATTCAAAATGTTCTTTTTTTGTGTGTTTTAAAAATTTTTTTCTTGGTTATGTGACGAGAAACCATTAAGAGAATATTCCGTTTTATCATTTTGCAAAAATGATGGCTACTTTTGTTACTTTTATATTAATATTAATGTTACATTTGAATGTTCTCTGAACAATCCGAAACAATTAGTAATAGTAACCTGAGACTAAAATGTCCAACTAAAATATTGAAGAAAAACGTTCCATGAACAATGTATAAATAACGTTTTTTTTTTTTTTTGCTAATGTTTTGATAACATTAAGACCAAATAACATTCTATTACCATTACTGGAAGAACATTTGTTCATAACTTTGCCTGTTAGCTGTGAATAGTTCATTTAAAAATGAAAATCAAGCCATAAAAATTATCCATGTTACACTAAATATAGTATAAAAGTCTGTTTTATAGTTCTGTAATGGTGTTTTTGTTCTTTTTTTTTTTGGAGCTCAACAGAGCATATTGACTGTCCAAAAATTCACTTTTCATTATACAACAGCATGAGTGTAAAGTAAATAATGACAAAATTTTCATTTTTGGATGAACTATTCCTTTAAAGAAGTGTAAGAACTTAGCTGGGATCTAATAAGACATCTTTAACAAATCTTTCTTTTTTATTAAATGTACATTTTTAAAAAATCTTCATAATCATCAGTATTTTTTTTCTTTTCTTTCTTTTTATTTTTTAGCTCGTTTTATTACAGAATGACTGGCATTTCCAATAATGATCATCTGGTGGAGATATGCCATCCGATTTCCCCTGCTTTTTAATATTAAACAGATGAAAGCAGATTATCTCCATCTGAAACTTTTCCAGACTTGCGTTCATCTCCTTGTCCAGATATTTAAATAATGACTTCAGCTATAGTGTTGCCCAGATATCAAATACTTTTGGGCAAAATAACCCAGAATATGAATGAACACAACCAACATCATTGCCTGCTGTGAGTAATATCAAAGTTCCAAAATACCTCCAGAAACAATTCCTAATTTAGATAACTGAATAATTCACATATAAAAACCCAGATGCTTCCATCTTATGTCTGATTCGAAAAGCTTTTTTACTCAGATTAAACAAAGCACTGTCACAGAAGAGTGGTTATTCTCAGAAAAAGCTTTCTTTCAGAAGATTGTTCGTCCTTTTGCTTCCCGGGGAGGATCTGTGCTTTATAACACAGTGTCATTACATAAACCACAGGGAGAAACAAAGCCAGACAGTGGAGCTCTTATGAATGAGAGGAATTATTCATAAACCTGAATTATCTGACACGTGATTGACCCTCTAATTATACCCACTCACGCTTTCCTTATGGCTGCTCCCTGAAGAAGTGAGGTCAACGCTAAGTTAAAAAACTGCTTCAAATTGAATAAAAATTAGAGTGTATTTGAACAAATTTAGTCATTATGTGGTAAACTTAAGCTCGTTGCTGACAAAAAATCTCATTGCAATCATCTGATCAATTCTCGCCTGAAAGTAAATCACATTATATCAGCAAATTCCCACAATTAACTAAAAAACATTTTAAATGCCATCACAATCAAACAAAAAGAAAAAAAAAATCTAATCATCTTCTCTCAATCTCCTTGTGACTGAGCAACTTTTCATAACAGCCCTTATAACACCTCGGCCAATCACAATGATCATAATCACATGCACAATTATTTTCACAATCTTCCCTCCTTGTTCCTGCCACTATTCTGACATCATAATCATTATGCAATATTTTAGTTTTGAGGTTTTAATGAGAGGAATCACCTCTGGCTGAGCACATTTTAGATTTATAACAACTCAGTCATTTTCATTTTCACACTTAACATTCCACTATTAAGACATCATATCGTTCAGTTGTGATGTTTTAGTGTTAGAATTATGTTTTAGTGTCCATTCATATCAGCCTAGCCAATCATAACATTTTCATCACTATTGTGATGTCATAATCACTAGGTGATAATTAAAATGAGACATTTCAACCATTACTGTCTGGACTGCTGGTCCAGTTATAACAGCTCCGCCAGATATCACAAACAGAATCACAATCATTTTCACTATTGTGATGTCATAATCACTATGCCATATTTTGAAATGGAACATCTTATTAGAGAAATCACTTCCATTCCCTCATGACTGTCTGAGCTGAAAGTGCATTCATAAGATTCTAGCAATCATCAAAATCAGAATCACACTAATTTTCATAACTATTCTGACATCATAGTCACTATACACACAATTAAATTGAGACATGTTTGTAGGAGAATCTATCTGAATTTCTGGTCCATTAAGATGACCCTGACTGTTTTTACAATCACAATCAATTCTGACGTCATAATCACTGTGTTATAATTTATTTGTGACATTATGGTTGAGGAAATCACTTCTGTTCCTCATGACTGTCTGAGCTGCTTGTCCATTCACATCAGCTCATCCAGTGACTGCTGGCAGAGACTATCCTCCAATCTCATTAGAGAAGTGCTGCGATAAACCGGGTTATGATGAGCACTGCTTGCTTGTACACTCTGTTCCAAGCGTCCACTGCACAAACCAAGCTGCACCTGTCCTGATATCTGCCGATACCGACAGTAGCGAATCTCCTGCTAAAACGATAATAGATACAAAGCAGCTGTCACCCAAGCAAACACTCTTAATGCAAGAGCATGCAAAAGAATGAAGAACGCACGCATTACTATTTGCAGACGCATCGAAACTGATGCAACTCTTAAGAAGTCAGGCTGTTGTCATATTAAACGTCAAACAGCCTCCGCAAAATATTTTGTTGTTTCCACGCAGATGACAAATCTCGCCGATATATCAATAAAAATCTGACATCTATTTCTTTTAACGTACCTTCATTGCAACTCCCGTCCGCGAATACTGTCGAATACTAAAGTGATTTTCATCGCAAGGACGCTCGGGAGCACTCCATTACGTCTTCCCTTTCTATCATCCTTGTGTATGTGTAGAAAAGAGCATAACGTAATGGCAAAGCGCGGATCAGCCAATCCTGAAATAGCAAGACCCGCTGGTATGTATAGCAGCCAATCGGCGTCGCTCTCGCCGGCGAGTGGGCGTGTCTTAGAGACACGCGTGTGAGCAGGCTTTGGTTTGATGCAGAGACACTGTAGCGTGACCCTTAACTGTTTCTCAACATATTTGCAAACAGATTATGTGTAAAACGCTAATAACTATGTCCAGCTCTAATTTGCATTTCCCTACGCGTGATAATTAAATCTCCACTCTCAGTTTCATTAATAAGGAAATTATCTTAATCTTAAATTATCTAAAGTCTGACGCCAGACTTTTTAAACAAACGTTTTATGACATACTTGCGATGTGCTTAAATGTATACATATAATACACAATACTATATGAATATTTAAAAAAGTGATAAATGATAACGTTAACGTGATAAATGATAACGTTATGTTTTTATCTGCTTAACGTCCGTCGACGGCAGCCTGTTGCGATGGTTACCTATTTAAGCGAACGCGATTTCTTTTCGCTAACGTTTATTTAGTGAGCTCTGATTAACTTTTAATCTAAATTTGGTGGCAGTTTGTTCCGCCTACAGTCCACACTGGAACGTGCTGGAATGTTCTAGCAGTGACGAGGTATTTCACAATTATTAATCCTCACAAACAGCTGCTCTTAATACTTTAATACTCAAACACCATATGTTTCAAAACACATATTAGCTGTCCGTTAATATTTTAACATGTCAAGAAGACAAACCATCTGAACTCAGAATGTATTTAGAAATACTACATATTTAATAGCATGCTTTGAATAAATTAATACAGCATGCTCACCAACTTTTATAATTAAAATGAATTTAATATTTCAGTTCCATCAGGGTTGAACAGCTCTACGTTTCAACGTTGCGCATCGCAACACGTCACTGTTTTACAATAAAGTGTGAAAGCAGGTCATCTAGTGGCCAGATAGACGAAGTGAACGACAACCCATATAGATACAGCATATTGTTGAAATCAAAATGATTGAAGGAACCAGATTTCTTCTAGAAGCATCTCGATCTCTGATTATTTTTATATATTTAATATGATATCTAAAACATTCATATAAAATATGTACGCACACGTTTAAATACACAATACAGTTTTAATGAGAAAATAGCTGGGGGTCATGTGTGATCTTATATGCAAATGAGTCACAGTATTACATGGGACAGTAACCACAGCCTACAGGGAGAGAAAATGCAGTGGTTTACATCCACATTCTGTCTGTCTGACAGTCTGAAAGAGAGAGAGAGAAAAACAAAGTTCATACCATTCAAATGTAGTGTCAGATTACAAGCAAGATTGTTTCTGATACAAGTGAGAAGGCAGAACATTTGCCATCTGTCAGAGTGAAGTTATGCATGATGTACTTGTCAAAGTAAACAAACCTGAGAAACAAGTGTGCAAGTTAATGAAATTTCATCCCATCTGAAGACTTATGACACAAATTCCTAACAGTTCGTTATGACGGCCATCGGCACAAGACCACGAGAATCAGACAAGTCCTCTGCTCAATTTGACGTTCGCTGCAGCCTGGAATTAAACCACACCGTGCTGGTTTCGTCTGGCCAGAGGAGAACTTTTTTCTCCGTTTCTGTCACTGATGGAGTTTTGGTTCCCTGCCACTGTCACCTTTGGCTTGCTTAGTTGGGAACACAATTTCAGGCAAAATATTGACTTGATTGCACTATTGGAAGAGAACTGAACTGAGCTGGAAGATGACATCACTGAATCAACGATGAACTGACTTTAACTGAAAAACTACAAAACGATATACTTCTAAAAGACATTTATGTATGTATGTATGGATGTTGTAATCTTTATTTACAGTCTTTTAAAATATTTTCTTTTTCTAGGTCCTTTGCATGTTAAAGCAATTCAAACCGTTGTCCAATTGGGGGCGACATTGACCATAAAACGTGAACCTTCAGTAGCCAAACTGTGAGTTTTGCTGTAAATAGAAACTGAATTAATGAATGGAAGGATGGGTGGTAAGCTGGAAACAGGCTTTTTACAATTACTGATCAGTCAAAAGTTACCTAAAACATTCATGAACCTCTGTAAATGACAGGATAAAGGATTTTGATAGTGTTTTTAATAGACTGATTTTAATTCCTGAAGCAAAATGCAATGGAAATAATAGTTTACTCTCTTATTGAGGCTACTGTAAGTACCTTAAATATAGCCATATTTTACATATATACTTAATATTTGTCTCAAAAACGAAACTTGTGCTTTTTAATTGAAATGTTTTTGCATTCATTGAAAAGTTTTTCCATTATTAATATGAATCTAATTTCAGTGTTTTATGTATTTAAATTAATTTTAATTTAATCATTACATTTTAATGTAATCATTAGTAACTTAGGCCTGCTATTACAGTAAACATAGTAATTCACAGTGTAAATTCAAACCTCATGTGCACATGTTGTGTCTGAATAAACAGAATGACACAGTGTATGTTACAGGAAATAGCAATCAGTCTAGCTGCATTAACCAGTAACCAGTCTAGCTACATTTTTTCCCAGAACTTTTCTGGTCTTCCAGGAACACTACAACTTGCATGCAATGTTTCATGCCGAAATTCCCTGATGTCATTAAGATTTGGGTTTCATGAGTTGTTTTTATTAAGCCCCTAAAAGGTGCAAGTAAAACCAGAAGACACTGACACAGTCACTGATAGAGAAATGCACCCCAGAGACAGGCCTTGACCAAAAAAAGCTGAATTTTCCAACCAAGGTAATTTCAAGCAAGTCAAATAGCAAACACCTGGAGCAAATCAACCACAAATGCTCTAACTTATGTCTCAAAGCACAGTTTACAAAGGGCAATGAACTCTCGTCAATCATACGGTGCATCTGCACTTCAGACGACTCAAGCTGCTGTTTCCTGTGCAGTTAGGGAGTTGAACGCATCAAAGGTCATTGACTTTTTCAGGGTTATTTAAACCAGTGAACTAATCCAAACCTACTACATATGAGAGTTTAACACCAAATTAAAAAAAAAAAAAAAAAAGTATAATATTTTCATTTAAATCGCCTCTCTATAAATTCGAACTGCCATTAATCTACTTAACCATATGATGCATGAATGATTAATGAAATTAATTACGAAGGGGTAACAATCTTGCCTCATTTTGCTTCAAAACAAATATAACCATTTCCAGTTTTGTTATTTTTTGAACAAGCTTTTTGAATTTAGATACTTATTTATCATTGTTCTGTTGTTATAGAATATGATTAAGGAGCTATATGAATAAAACAATCCTATACAGCAGTATAAGAAGAAGAAGTTATTGATTGTATGTTAAAAAAAATAAAAAATAAAATGAGAATGAGAATGCTACATTAGTGAATTAGAGCTCTGTATGCGGTGTGGAGATCCAGCGGCTGCATGTGAAAGCTGCCAGCTGTTGAAATGACTTATAGAGTCTCATTAAGAAAGTGCTGTCTGCTAACACAGAGCACTGTTCTCATCAAGCAAACAGAGACACTGAGAAACCTTCAGTATTGATCACACCAGGATGAGAAATGAAGAGAGGAAGAAACCCTCATCAAAAAGAGCCTTTTGTTTTGCACGGGCTAGCACAACAGACTGGAAAGCATATACTCACTAGATAAAATACTGTGGTAATACCATGTTTTTGAATATAAAGCAGACACTTATATATTTTTAAATATACCATATACAGTAAATATCATGAGTATGGAAACCATGGTTTTACCATTTTTGTAAGAGACTCCCACATCATATTCATCAAGTAAGAAAGTTATTTATATATCCCAATACGTAGTGACAGTACTGCTGACTTACTTACTGTACATTAATTCTGGGAAACAAATAAGAGAAAAACACATCTGGCAGGTAAAAAAACAGGTTATATTCCTGTCCAGCCTGTATCTCAAAAGCAAATGCAAATGCAGCTCCTTAAAAAAGGAGCTGTCATCTCAAACACAATGGAGTCCAGTCTTTTTACAAACAGAGTTTATTTCACACAGCAAGAACAATCATTCATTAGTGTTTATTATAAAACAGAAAGGAAAAGAACATCCAGGTGCTCGAAGCTATTAAGAGTCACACTGTTTGTGACATTTATACTAGAAGAACTGAACACATTATCTTTGAACTACAATGAAAATTTAGACACTGGAGTCATAAACATAAAAAAAAAAAAAAAAACCTGGAGATGACCAGCCAACTAGAAAAGCCTGTCACGTAAAGTGTAAATCAGACACGCGTCTGTAAAGGAAAAACCACCTGTGGAGCAAAGGGCATCATAAAACAACTCAAAAGGTCACATTTACTGTCAAACACTTGTGCATTTGCGCACACACAGCATTAATAATTAATAAATGAACTCTGTAACATCAAATTTGTTTAAAAAATATAAAATACTGACATGAACCAAACTAATTTTTTCTATAAAAACACTGAAATCAATTTCACTGACACTACAAACATGTTTTTTGCGCTGACGAAGCATTGCCAGCTGTATATGTGTCTTATAATGTCATTCCTTGTTACAGCCTGGATGCGATTTAATGAAAAATAACCATGTCGGTTGTGTGGCATTGTTCTCTCAGCTGCCTGTGTGTCCTGTTTAATGAGCTCACACACACACACACACACACACACACACACACACATGCAAACACACAGACATCAGTATCTCTTCTAGCCCGAAGGCACTCTAGCAGCCTTTTTTCTCTCTTCTCTCACCTCTCCTTGCTCTCAGTGCTTGTCTAATTGAGGCGAATCTACCCTGGACAAAAGCTTTCTCAGAGGGGAGCATTTGGCTATATCTCTCACAAGCCAAACATGAAAGTTTCACATCAGAAGCTTGAAAGTTGCTGATGTGGGTGGTAGTTGTTTTATGTCTTACAAATTTGTCTTGTTCTGTTATTTTATATGTGGTCAGTTAGTATTTGGCCCTAAATTTGAATTTAATGTTGCAAACAACAGATTCACTGGTGCTTTCTGCAGCAACTGGACTAAAGAATAAAGTCTGTGGGAGTGAGGAACAGGTCCTGACCCTTCTTCCTCCCTCCATGAACCAACTTTACATAACCATTTTTTGTCTCATGGCACTCCATTTAGGTTTTGTGGCAAATGGGTGCTTAATGCTTTTACAATGTTGATACACTGAACCTTTATTTGGAGTGTTAGAATAACAAAAGAACAATACCACAAGGAACAGTAGAGTCCATCACCTTTCACAGTAATGCAATGTATTTTTCTCTTCTACACTCCAGGGCTCCAGCACCAGATGGTCTTCCAGCTCATCCTCTTCGTCCTCCTCTTCCTCCTCAAACACACTGATTTCCTCAATAGAAGTCTCTAGGAAGTAGCTGCTGCCTTGACCCTCACTGTTTTCGTAGATGGTAGGTAGGCTGCTTCTCATTCCAAAGCGTCTGCGTAGGGCGACCAGCAACGGCTGAGGCACAGTAAAGATGTCCACATTGTTGCCCAGATCCACCCAGGCCAAACTGGGAAACTTTTTGGGGTCCTTAACCACCTCTATCAGGTCTTTTAGGATAGCTAGAGTCAGTCGGTTACCGTTGATTGCAAGTGTGGTGAGTTTGGGTAGCACTCCTAAGAATGGTAAAAGAAGTCGCAAGCTCTCATCTTGGAGCTCTGTGAAGCTGATATCCACTGCCGTCACAGATGAACCATTGTTCTGAAGGTAGTATGCCACACGATGCAGATCACGGCCAGAGAGGGGGATAGCAGACAGATCCACGATATCATTTGTTAATTTCTTTTTCAGTGTAGTTTTAAGACTGTGAAAGAAAAAAAAAAACGGTGTTAGCATTTTAACACATTAAATTACCATGTTTATAATATTATCATGTCAGTCATGATATAAAAAATAAATGTGACATTTTTATTCTATTATTTACTTACACGTTATTACAGAATAATGTGGTCATTTGAGAGAGCATTTTAGAGTAATTTTAAATAGCAATGCTATGCAATATATCCATTCTTTTCGTTTGCTTCTTTTTCTGTTTCAGATGACATTTCAGATAAGTTTTTTTGGTGTAGAACACTGGTGTGCCAACTGTGAGGGGGGTATAGCTTAAGTGACTACAGTCACATACACTCACAAGACCATGGTATTATTTATTTTCATCCAATGTAAGTTGCTTTTTGAGGCCAAGACTTTCAAGGGTTCTAGAACAGACCTATACAGATACAGTGAGACAACCTCTAAAAAAAGAAATCAATAAAATAATATAAAATAAATAAAAACCTTATGCATTGGTGGTTGAAAAGAGACTTTTAAGGATACATTTTACACTTTCTCTTTACAGATCAATACAAAAGAATCCTTTTAGGACAAAACTTTCATACGTTCTAAAACAGGCCTGTAAAATCCCAGTCAGGCAACACAAAACACCAGCACAGTCTCACAAGCATTTGTGGTTCAGTGGTAGAATTCTCGCCTGCTGCCATGCGGGGGAAAAATGGCAAATTCAAACTTCCCGGGGTGCCAAAACACGGAAGAGCCCCACGAGGGCATTAGTGGCCAAGAGAATATTGCATCCGTATGGTTTAGCACTACCATTGAGAATGAATGGGAAAGGGTTTAGGGTTGTTTAGCTAACGGGAGGCCCGGGTTCGACTCCCGGCCAATGCAAATAACACTTTTAAAGACAAATTTCACACTTTCTAAAACAGGCCTGTAAAATCCCGGTGATGCATCAGAAAAATATCCCAAATAAGCATTGGTGGTTCAGTGGTAGAATTCTTTCCTGGCCCTCCAGACCAGGGGTTCAATTCCCGGCCAATGCAAACATTTATTTTAAAGACAAATTTCACACTTTCTAATACAGGCCTATAAAATCCCGGTGAGGCAACTCATAAATAGCCGTAATAAGCATTGGTTGTTCAGTGTTAGAATTTTTGCCTTCAGCACCGGAGACCTGGGTTCGATTCCAATGCAACAGCAAGCTTTATTGCCACTTGTTGCATTTTTGCCATCCACATGGTTGCAGGTCTCATGGTTTTCTTTGGTGCTGGGGTAATTCCTCATTTTGCATTCACTTGAAACCACATTGCTCAAGGGGGACTGTTCAATGTAGCAAATGTACTTTAAGTCTCTTTATGAAAATCAGCCTTAGACATACAAGCAAAAACACACCTACACTTTTCTAACAATTATTACAGTACATTAAATATATGACAGTATGTTACAGTTGACTTGATTCCCATAAAACATATTAGCCATTCAAACATCAGTCATCATTCAATCTCAAATCCATGTGACTTAACCAGATTTTTTTTTTCTCAGATAAAGGCCAGAAAGTGACAGGCAATTTAAATCTAACTCTGGCAACTGTTTCTAACAATGATGACCAATGCTGCTGTGATGTGCAGAGACTATGCATGCACAGCGCCTGCATTTCCCCCTGTCACCAATCAAGCCTGTCCTCCGCATATCCATACATGCAAAGCCAGAGCAACAAAAATGGCCACTCAGTTGAAAGCTTATTTCAAAGCATCGAGTCATGCTCAATGCTGTGGGTTTTAGATTAGATTATCTCGTAGACTCATAAAAAAAGGAGAGAAACATGGAAATTGGATGTAAGGATAGGGTTCAATCAGTCATTGTTCTTGCCCAGAGCAGTCACGTTGACAAGCAAGTCAGAGCTGTCAGAAGAAATGAGTGCACACAACAAAAAACTGAAAATTGTGGCAACTCGGGCTGACGGAGATGTTTGCAATTGTGTGCGGTTTGCTCTGAGGTACTGCAACTGCAGCTCCCCCATTAACTGGTCTGCAGATGAAGAAGTGAATGACACAGTGGCCAGGGGGAAAGGTTGCCAGTTCCTGAAAATAATTGTAAATCAGCTTGTCTTCCATATTTATGCAAGACAGACCAGTTCTTTGCATTACAGTGACACAAAATATACTGAATATATGGGTAGTAATAAAGACTCCCATGCGTGAGCAACGGCTCCTTGTGCACTAACTACGCTTTAAATTAGAGAGCTGACAACTGAACAGCAATGCAGCTCCCTCCTTCAATCACCCTGCAGCACCCCCCCCTGCAGCGGGGAAAGTCCATCTGCTTCTCCTCTGCTTTGCATGGTAGCATTACATTCAGAGGGGCTTTTGCTGTGACTGCAGGATTTGGACTTCCTACGCCGTGTGCTCTATTGTTCTGAGTTTGGGCTTGTCTGATTGGATTAAGGCACGCCGTTAGCACTTTTCTGCGTAGGAGCCATGGGTCCAGCCAAACAAAATGCACAGATCAGCCCTTTTCAAAAACAACACTGTGTGTTGGTGTCATAGTCGTGAGGAAGGGTGCCGAGAGCTCCTGGAGTTGGTGGGATGGGGTGGAATGGATGGGGTAGGTAGCAGACTGCAATCCAGAACTGGGTGCCCATCTGCAAGGTAACATGGCAGTGCTAATCCTGGATTAGACTCGAGATCATGCACCCTTTATCTCAGGGACATTTTTAACAAGATCTCCTGACATTGTTGATCATCAGGAATAAACCATTTAAGACTGAATTTTAAGTAATGTGGCAGGGCTATACATACAGTGAGATATGCCAAAGCATTAAATTAATAAACCATGGTATTTAAATGGTACTTCTAAGAACGTCATGGTAACATATTTTGGCTGGTTATGTTTGGCAGTTTTGATACACTGCAGTATTATTAGTATTATCTCCTATTTTCCATTAAATATCTAAATATCTTTCATGAAGGGGAAATGATGAAATTTGAAAGGTGATTTCCAGGGTCATATGTATGTTCAGTAGACAAAACCAATCAATGCATTGATTAAATTAACTGTGGAACAATCTAGAATCCATGGAGGAACTTGACCTGCTTAACGAGAGATCTGCTGGCTCTAATTACATTGTTCATCCACTCTGCCCTTTGGGATATTGACATGTTTTCTCCAAGAGCTTACATGGCCTATCAAATGTAATCTCAAAAACAGCTAGATACTACAAAGAAAGCATTAAAACATAGAAGGCTGTTACATATGACACATTCTGATGAATTTTACCAATTAATTACATGACAAGATGAATATTAATCAAATGAATCACATGCATCAATAATTGCTGAGAAAAGACCCAAAATAAGACATTTAAAACTAATTGAATTATGGTGGCAGGCAATATCATTACAAAAAGTTAATTGCACTACATTAACATTAAATTGACAGCCCTAGTACTATTATTTCACTATTATACCTTCATTTCCACTAAACACTTGGTTTAATTTGCTAAAGATATACATTGCGTCTTCTGCGAGGTAAAATTGGTCGACTAAGCAAACCTGAGATGCACAGCTTCAGTAGCGCTTCTCAACACACACGGACTTGTGGGTAAAGTCTTTTCAAAAACCTGTCAGTGCAGATCTACATACCATGCCACCATGCCTCAAAATAACGTTGTCAAAACTCTCTTCAGATGATTTCTGAAGCCCTGACGACGTGGTAGGTTTGAAGGCCCATTTGCATTAATATTGCCCCATACTGACACTTTGACATAGGCTCTATATAAACTTATGTCTCTGAGAATTTATTTAGATTTAAAGGGGCGATGTGATGTGATGTGATGCGATGCGCCGAATGGACAGTCTAAGTCAGATTTTTAGATCTCTCCCTCTTCTCCATGGGCTCTCAATCTCCTCTGGGATGATGTTTATGGTCATTCTGTGAGCCTTCTGCGAGTAGTAATCAGGTTTTGTCTCTCTTCAGTGCCACATACATACACATTTTCCCAGCCATCTTAAATGTGCACTGCACAGAACAATGACTTTCCAGTTGGCTAATCTCATTTCAGTACTGGTGGGATATAGTCGAGGCTATATATCAATGTGGATAGTAGACAGAAAACTCAGTATAAAAGCTTTGCGCTGCCAGGGTTCTCTCTCCATATATGTGACCCTGGACCACAAAACCAGTCTTAAGTCGCTGGGGCATATTTGTAGCAATAGCCAAAAATACATTGTATGGGTCAAAATTATTGATTTTTCTTTTATGATAAAAATCATTAGGATATTAAGTAAAGATCATGTTCCATGAAGATATTTTGTAAATTTCCAACTGTAAATATAGTAAAACTTAACTTTTGATTAGTAATATGCATTGCTAAGAATTCATTTGGACAACTTTAAAGGCGATTTTCTCAATATTTAGATTTTTTTGCTCCCTCAGATTCCATTTTTCAAATAGTTGTATCTCGGCCAAATATTGTCCTATCCTAACAAACCATACATCATTGGAAAGCTTATTTATTCAGCTTTCATATGATGTATAAATCTCAATTTCGAAAAATTGACCCTTATGACTGGTTTTGTGGTCCAGGGTCACATATACAAATACATGTAGTCACACATATACATACATGCGCATAAAAACAAAACTTAAAACAAGTTTGTTTTCGGTCTAAACCTTTTTATTAGTTAGAATTTAAAATCGTGGAGTTGTAAATGAGGTGAACTATTATTGAATCACACAAAAAGAGCTCTTTAATTGAAATTATACACAGCATGCAAATTTCCCTGCAGGAAAACACTCTACATATCTGATTTAACTGATTAATGAATTTATACAAGCCAGTTATGATGCAAATACACAGGACCTACGCTATGAAATTAATTGACACTTGATGATTCTTATTTGGTGCCAAGACTTGTTCAATCAAAAGAGTGCGTAAACAGAACTGTGGGCTTTAGTTTATGTTTCAGTCACAGCATAGCTGAGGATATCCAGGGATGTTTACTAAAAGTTATCATGTAAGATACTGGC